ACAAATTTATTTTCTTATAGTTTAGGAGGCAAGAAGTCCAAATTAAAAGGGCCGACTCGGGGAAGGCTTTCTCTTTCCGTCGACTCCGGCGGAAGGTCTTTGCCTCTTTTCATCTTCTATCCCTTGGTTGCTTGATGATCTTCATGTGGTGTGTATTTTCCCCTCTGTGCTTCCTTCTCTGTGCCTAATCTGCTCTTTTCATGCTTCAGAAGTGAATGGTTTAAGACACACCCTACACCGATAATGGTCTCATTAACATAACAAAGAAAATCCTATTCCCAAATGGGATTACATCCACAGATATAGGGGTTTAGGATTTACAACACATCTATTTGGGGGACACAGTTAAATCCATAACACTCTCCTAGAACCAATGCCCTAATTTGGACTTCTAGCCTCCAAAACTGTAATACAATGAATTTCTGTTCTTTAAAGTCGCCCACTTTGTGGTATTTTGTTACAGCAGCACTAGGTACTAAGACACCTGCCATACCCACTGGAAGTACCAGTGACACCAGATAAACCAAACAGACCAAAACAATACCACAAAGGCTCTGAAAATTAAACTGCCATTGGAATCACGGCTCACAAAAGTAGCACAAGACCTGTGTGCTAAACATAAACAGGGTGACTGTTCGCTAAAATAAAATATTTAAATAGGAGTTTCCTAACATAACATACAAAATGTTCAATCAAAAATCACCTGTCATCCCCCAGACATCTTTTAAACTCAGTACTGAAGTCACTCCAGAGGTTCACCCTTCAGCCAAAGGTTAGACAGGCCCATAAAACAAACAATAATACACATAGCTCAACCATGTATACGAGACCAGATGGGCACACCGGCCCATGGACAAGGACAGGAAGGCAGGAGGGAACAAGAAAGATGGACGAATGCAAATGGGGAACCGAAGGTTGAGAAGGGGAGAGTGTTAACATGTTGCGGGGTTGGCAACCAATGCCACAAAACAATATGTGTATTAATTGTTTAATGAGAAACTAATTTGCTCTGTAAACCTTCATTTAAACACAATTAAAAAAAAAACCTGTCACACCAAGAACCACGAAAACCATAACTTGAATGATAAAAGATAATCAACTGGTTCCAACACTGAGATGAATCAAATGTTAGAATTACCTGGAAATGATTTAAAAGCAGTTGTTATAAAAGTTCTTCAACAATCTATTATAAGTGTTCTGAAAACAAGTGAAAAAATAGAAAATCTCAGCAAAGAAAAAGAAATTATAAAAAAAATAACTGAATGGAAATTATAGAACTGAGAAATATAATAACAGAAATAAAAACTCTCTGAAGAGCTCAATAGTACAGTGGAGATGACAGAATAGAATCAGTGAACTTGAGGACAGATTAATAGATTTTACCCAGTCTGACCAACAGAGAGAAAATAAACTGAAAAAATTTTAACAGAGACTCAGGGACCTGTGGGACAATAACAAAAGATTCAACGTTTGTATCATTGGAGTCCCAGAAGACAGGTAGAAAGAGAGTGAGTCTCAAAAAGTATTTGAAGAAATAATAGTTTAAAACTTTCTAAATTTGGTATAAGACCTAAACGTACAGATTCAGTAAGTGGAGTGAACCTCAAACAGGATAAACCCAAATAAATCCATGCCAAGACACATCATAATTTAACTCTTAAAATTAAATACAATGAAAACAATTTTTAAAACAGTCAGTAATAACCAATGCACTGCCTATACGGGAACTCCAATTCGAATGACAGCTGATTTTTCATCTGAAATCATAGAGGCCAGAAAGAAATACTACATCATTTATCAAGTGCTGAAAGAAAAGAACAGTCAATTGTGAATTTTACATCTGGAAAAACTATCCTTCAGGAATAAAGGGAAAATAATGACATTCTCAGACAAAAGAAAACAAAAAGAATTTGTTCCTAGCAGACCTACCCTTAAAGAATGGCTAAAGGAAGTTTTTCAAACAGAAAGTAAATCCTGAAGAAGAAAGAATCTTGGAGCATCAAGAAAGAAGCAACAATGGGAAGAACAGAAATATGAGTACCTATAATAGAGTATCCTTTAACTCAAGAGTTTTTTTTTTTTTTTTTTTTTTTTTTTT